CAGTCACGCCGCCTCCTCTTGCCGGGGGTGATGTCCCCTCCATCCGTATTCCCCCTCGTGCACTTATGGAGGACAGGCATAAGGAGCTATTTGACCTTGAGGCAGTCTGCCAATTTCTATCTCATATCTTCCCAAACATTACTGACTGCCCTTCCCTCAACTTCACCTAGAACTCGACCATTCCGACTCCTCGCACAAAAGAGGAAACTCTCTCGGGCCCATATAAGGAGTGGAACAACATAGTCATAGTTATTCCCGCATGTTGGTGGTACACGACCACAGAGTCTCCAACCACGAAGGGACTCGAAACAAACTCAACAAAGGGCTACACCAAGTGAAATGTAACACTACATGAAGTAGCATTACTATTTTCACTATTTTAATTTTTATCCACTTCCCTTGGGCTTGAAATCTTGAGCTCTTGGTCTTGATTCTGCAAGATATATTCTTCTTGAGTTGATGAGGGCTTGCTGCACACACCTGCCACGCGATGGACACTTCACACTTGACAAAATAGAAAAACACATGCGACACGCAAACGACGACTTGACATGCGATTTGTGAAAACTCGTTAATGTCTTGACCGACACAAACCACATTGTGATACACTATTCAAACACACACACAAGCACTAGATAGCAATGACATAGACTCACAAGTCATTTCATGCCATGCATGCACACACACAAACAAGGACGACAAGCCGAGTGCAAGCCATTGGGTTGCACCAACACATCCTCCCTTTGCACAAGGTAGGTGAGGGTCCTTTCCATCTCCTTCGACTTCCTCCCTTCGGGTTAGAGCACGTTTTGCCCCAAGAAACTTGCAGCATAGGCGATGTCGACTGGTGTGCATGACACGGGGTACATTACCGACCCCACCATGGATTGGTAGACCTTCAAGGCCCTCTCTCTGCAGCCCCATGTGTCCATCTCTTCTTCCATATCCACCTCTTTGCCTGCCAGGCTGCTGAGCGGTGTCACAATGAGTTTGGCTCCCAAATGGTCACCAAAACGCTCCTTCAACCGATGAGAGTACTTCTTTTGGTAAAAAAGTAACTTTCTCTCCTCTCGGTTCCGCTCCAAGTTCATTCCAAGGAAGAAATTTGCCCTTGGAATTTGCTTCACTTGGAAGATGCTTGCAAGGTGCTTGCACACACGCCTTCCACTTCTTCACGAGCTCCCGTCACGAGAATATTGTCCACATAGAGAAGGAGGAAGACTTTGTCCTTCCCTTATCCCCTCCAATAGAATGCTCGGTCACTTTGGCTTTTCTCAAAGCCACCCTTCATCAAGTGCTCATCCATGGCCTTGTACCATTTACGTGGACTTTGCTTAAGGCCATAGAGTGCTTTGATGAGTTTGCACTTGCGGTTGGTGCTGTCTTCACACTCGGAGGGCTGCTTCATGTAGATTTCCTCTTGCAACTCACCGTAAAGGAAAGCATTCTTGATGTCGAGTTGCACCAAGTGGTAGTCCCCAATAGCTACCACCTTGAGCAATGTCCTTGATGTTGTAAGCTTGCTCACGGGTGCATAGGTTTCACCTCACTCCAACTAGCCTCCTCCCTTCGGGAAGCTCTACAAGTACCCATGTCCCCCTTTCTGCCAAGGTATCAAGCTCCTCTTGAATGGCCTTCCTCCACTCCCTGTGGTATGGCCCCGAGTGAGCCTCTTCAATGGTGACCGGTTCATCGGGTGGATTGTGTTAGAAACAGAAAGGTTCAGTTTATTGATGAAGCAAAGGCATTACATAGGAAGAGAGAGATGAGCTAGGAAGGGAAGGTTGGAAGGGAAGGGGGGGTTAGGACCAATCACAAGGGAGGGAGGATCCTTCCAAATGTGGTTGACCCCCAGTTGGAGGTGGTCCAAGTGTGGTGGACCACAAGTGGCTTAAGCAACCCACTTGTGGTGCCCCCACAATTGTGGTCCTTGTGTTTGGGGGCTCCAACCACAATTGGGTTGGATTGACACCCCAACACATGTGTACACCCAACTAGGGAGGTAAACACAATATACACAAATAGCATAGCATGGTATATTCTAACAAACCATTCCTTAAAGCACTCAACGACTTGGGTCTTGTCCTTGATCTCCGATACCCACGTGTTCCTCGTGCCTATGTTGGTGAAGGTCACGAAGTACTTGCTCCCATGCCGAGATGCAACCCTTATGGATCCACACACATCCGCCGCTACATTCTCCATAGCCTCATATGGCTCCTCCTCAGCACCATGCTTCGGGTGAGATTTTTTCTTGTTCTTCCCCTCCATACATGAAGTGCAAGTCGTCACATCCACGCCATTGTCTTCGTTTAGCTGGACTCATGTGACCATCTCATTCTTGAATAGTTCCTTGATCCGAGAGGAGCTCGCATGCGCCATCCTCCGATGCATGATGTTGAGGTCGACCGACTTCGGTTTTGCCACTACCATAAGTGCTTGTTGCTGCCACTCATGCCCATATGCTTCTTCCATCTTGTAAAGAAGCACCTCCCTTGCTTAATTCCCTCCTTCGGGCTCGTCAAGGTATGTAAACTCTGCATCTGCTATTGGTTTCTCCATCACCCGCACTCTCATACAAGCTTTGTTTGCGTTCTCCTTCGGCAAGTACCTTCCAATTGGATCCAAACACCCAAAGCTTCCCATTGTCGCTGAAGGTCTTGCACCCACTCCCATCGAGTTGGGTTTGACTTATGACGTCGAGGGAGAGCTTGTCAACGAAGAGTACGTTGTCCAATTTCAGCTCCCCAAATGGACTTTTTAGCACCATGTCACCTTCCCCTTTCACCTCAAGTTGGCCATCATCACTGAGAAGTACGTGAGGCACGGTAGATGTACGGATGTTTTTCAGCAACGCCGCCTGGTTGGTCATGTGTTGCGTGCATCCGCTATCCATGAACCACGCCTTGCTTTGAAGTCCCTTAGCAAGGAGACATGCCGATGAGGTGCGGGCCACATTCGTCTTGTGTGCTCCGCCCATTATAGCATCGTCCTCCTTTGCTTTCTCGGCTTCCACGGCGTTAGCCTTGGCGGGAGTTGTCGTCTTCTCTTGCGGCCGCGCTCCTCTGAAATTCTTGCCATTCAGGTAAGAATAGCAATTTATCACCATGTGACCACGTGCAATGGTTGCAAGTGCCGTGGAAGGTTCCGCGTCCACATTGACCTTCTCCACTCGTTCCGCCTCCATGTAGCATACTCCTTCCCTTGAAGTTCGGACTCTCGGGGTTGGAGAAACTCTCAGCCACCTTTGTGCCCTTTCTTCCCGCAATGGAAGCAACGGCTCCAACGGCATTGACAAGTGCCGGAATTTCGTCGAGAAGCTCCTCCAAGAGCTTCCTTCGATTCTTGGTGTTGGTGCGGACGAGCTCCAATGATTGAAGCGTTTCTGCCAACTCTGTCAATGTCTTCCGTCGGCTACACGAGACGTTGCCCTTGTGCGCCTCCCACTCGCCCGGTAGTCCGCCGATAACGTAGCTTATCATTTGCTTCTCGGTCTAGGGTACGCCCAACGCCTTTAACTCGTCTCCGTAGCTCTTGGCTCGATTCACGTACTCCACGATCGTTTCGTTGGGCTTCAAAATGGAGTAGGATGGGCTTTTGGCGCACGTTCGTCATGTTTGCCTCGGTCTCCAACGGGCAGGCGTCACCATGATCTTCCCAGCACACTCGGATCACTGTGACCTCCTCGACCATAAGTCCAACAAGCTCCTAGCACGCTTCACACTCACCAGCAGCAAGCTCTACACGCTGCGTTTGTTAGAAATAGACTGCAAATACCACTTTTGTATTTGTACTTTTATATCCTAGTTTAGGTTGTGAATGTTCTAGTGGGTTGGGGTGTACTCACAAATCCCAACCTCACCCAATTGTGATCCCCCCAATCTCCAATTACCCAATTGGAGATTCCGGAGATCCCAATAGGGATTCCCTCCAATTCCCCCTTCATCCATTCTCTCTCACCTTGCCATGTACTTATAGAGCTTTGGGCTCCTTACCTAATCAATCATTTCAACTCTATTTCTTATATGGTATCAGAGCGACCTATCCGCATACGCGGATCAAGGTCATAATCTGAACGTGCCCGCGCTACGCGCACTTCATCGTCGCGACATTCGTTTCGATACATCGGAATTTCAACGTGCTCCACTCTGCAGTCGCGCCTCTCATCGTCGACCGCCTTCGCGCTCGACCTCGTTGAATTTCTCATCTCTGAAGCGTTCACGCTTCTCGTCGTCGATTTCCTCCTCGGTTCTCCTTGGTCGAATCTCAATTTCGACCATCTCTTAAAACTCGTTCTCAAGTTTCCCCTCAGACCCCGCCAGAATAGGCGAACTCCCCTCGCGAAATCGCCTCCACGAACGTCTCGCGTCAAGCAAGAGCAGGTACACAGGTTGAAGCGGAGCAGAGCTGGTTGCGGAGCTGGTTGCGGAGCTGGTTGCGGAGCTGGTTGCAGAGCTGGTTGCGGAGCTGTGTAGCTGCGGGACAGGGCCCGGGGGTGTGTGGGTCCGGGGTTAGACATAGGCTCAGATTCAGTTTCAAGTCGGCGTTTTAACGAATTTTCGCCGACGCCATTTCCTACTTAGCGGCATTTTGATAAAGCCGTCAGGGTGATTTTCAGCAATTCTCGTCGACCAATTTCCAGAATGCCGCGCTGCACACCGACAATGGCTTACTCAACCACTTCACTCACCAACCCGATCCCGCTCCTTCGTCTCGAGCCGGACGGCACATGCTCCAACTACAAGGCTTGGCGCTATGGTGTCGACAAGTACCTCCTCAGTCGCGAGGTGAAGGGGGTCAAGCTCACCGACGTCCTTCTCAACATAAATGACGGCAAAGAGCCTCCTAAACCCGAGAGGTCCGCCGATCCAGCTAATGCCGCCGCCGAAGCAGTTTATGCTGCTGCACTGCTCAAGTACAAGAATTGGGAGAAGGCCGATGGTGCGGTCATTAGTGTCTTCATGGGCACCACTCCTCCCGAACTCGTCGAAACTGTTGGTTAGAGAATGCTATAAGCAGATGATTCAATGGCTCCTTGGAAATTTCTGCAGCACTTCGTTATGACGCCCAGAAAACTCGCGACCTTCGAAAAGCTATATCCAAAACTCCAATCGATGAAACGATCTGAAAATCGGATATGTTGTAGCTTGCAGCGTCAGCTTTCCTCTGAAAGTTGAATCACTCGATTCCATAGCTTATCGAGTGAGCTATGGCGTTTGGCGCACTGGGGGGTAATCTGCCCTAGGAGAAGTTGACAGTCCTCAGAGTCACTATGATTGAAGCTTACAAGTTCAGAGACATGATGGAAAAGGCATTGAAGCATAGTTGGAAGGTGGGGTGGGAAGGGAAGGATGAAAGGGAAGGACCCTGGAGGCCCTTGGTCAAGAACATGACAAGAGTCAAAGTTTTGACTCCCCATCCTCAGGTTCAGCCAGCCTGGCAAGACAAAATTCATACTGTACCAGGTTGGTCTCCAAACCCCAAGTGCTGCAGCTGCAAGGTGGGGACAAAAGTCCCACACATGCTGGTCCCTCCTCGTTTTAGGGCTCTCCAACTTTGGTGTAGCAGCTGCCAAGGACTTCCAATGAGTTGTAACAAATCCATCAAACATTTCTTCGTAACTTCTTCATATGTGCTCCGATTCCAACAATTCTTGGCTCGTTGGAATGCGCTCGATCTGATGTACAATCCAAGCACATCTGCACAAGCACAAGATGAATATGCAAAGACATGCAAACCCAACAAACCACACAAACAACGTAGCACACAAAACACATGCAACGAAATGATGCGAACAGACGACAGGATGACGTGCAAACGAATATGCACCAACACACTCCCCCTCAGACTGTCGGCTTGTTTCGCCGTCTCTAGTTCAAGGACATTCCCGCCATTCTCGCACAGCGCCAGTGTGGCTCTTCAGCTAGCCGCTTGGTAAGGAAGTCGGCTGGCTGTTGCTGAGTTTTCACGTAGATCGGATCCAGTGTCCCAAGCTTCACCTCCTTCCGCAGCCAATGCCACTTGATCCTCATGTGCTTGTTCAACCCATGAAGAACTGCATTGCGTGCCATGGCAATGGCTCCCTTGCTGTCACTGAACAGAGGTGTCGCACAAGTCTGTTCATGGCCGATCTCCTTCAAGAGCCTCCTTAGCCAAATGATTTCTTTTGCTGCATGAAACATCGCCATGTACTCAGATTCCACTGACGATAGTGCCGTCTCAGACTGCTTCTTGGACCTCCAACTTACAGGCCCACCTCCCACCATGCAGATGTATCCACCTACTGATGATGAATCCTCATGCTCAGAAGCCCATGTGGCATCAGCAAAACAGGAAAGGAACACCTTTCCTTCTCTAAGCTGCTCCCCCTTCTCTTTGAGAACTTCAACTCCTTTCTGACTGAGTTGAGCAGAGGCTGAATACTGTACTCCCACTGTAGGGTATGACTTGAGGTAGCGCACCACTCTCTCCGCTGCACCACACTGCTCTTCTGTTGGATTTTGCACTACTCGAGCCAGCTGTCCCACAGCAAAGCTGATGTCAGGCCGAGTATGCACAGCAGCGTAGAGTAGGCTCCCGACCATGGATTGGAATTGCCTCTGGTCTTCACTCTCAACTCCTTCTCCTTCAGCTGCCTTTATGAGTTTGAACTCGGAAGGCAAAGGTGTGACCACTTCCCGTTCTTCCTGCAGAGAGTACTTCTCAGCCAAGGTGTTAATGTATTGTCCCTGATGCAGTTTGAGCCAGCCACGTTCAGTATGCGGCTCAATGTGCATTCCCAGGTAGTACCTTGCCTCTCCAAGTGACTTGCACTTGAACTGCTCTGTGAGCTTCTGCTGCACCCCATCGATCTCCTTGTCACTGCTGCTGAAGAGCAGGATGTCATCCACGTACACCAGCAGAAGCACAAGCGACTCCCCCTCGCTCATCAGGAATAGGCTCTCGTCGCATGCACTCGCACGGAATCCAATCCCTTCCAGTGCACTGGCCAGCCTGTTGTACCAGCATCTCGGGGCCTGCTTCAAGCCATAGATGGCCTTGTTAAGTTTGCAGACACGACCGGTTCCATCCTCATAGCCAGGTGGTTGAACCATGTATACCTCCTCTTCCACAATGCCATACAGAAAAGCGGTTACGATGTCCATCTGCTTCACCTTCCATTTGCGCACAGCAGCTACCGCCAGCAGCACACGTAGCGTTGGAGACTTAGCAGTTGGGGCAAACACTTCTTTGTAATCTTCCTTCGCTTTCTGCTGAAACCCCTTTGCCACCAGCCTGCTCTTGTAAACTGATGGCTCTCCTTTCTCATCCGTCTTGATTTTTGCCAGCCACTTGCACTGTATTGCCTTCTTCCCATTTGGCAAGTACACCAGGTCCCATGTGTGGTTCTCCATCTGGCTGTTGTACTCTGCATCTCTTGAAACGAGCCATTTCCCCCGTTGAGGCCCGGCTAGCGCATGATCCATGCTCGGAGGTTGTATTGGTGCGTAAAAGCAGTATGCAGGCTCTTCGTCATCTGACTCTTGGTCATCACCCAAGAACAGCACTGTATCTTCGCCTTGAGCCTGTTCCTGCTGCTCAGTTGTGGCTCCTTCACTTGTAGAGCTCAGCAGCTTTCTTGTTGCCATTCTGGTACGTGCAGGGTAGATGGTTGGATTTACCCATTCTTTCACCTTCACCCAATCCTTTGTCCCCCCACCAATCTGTTTCCTTCGCTTTGGCAGACTTGGTGTTTTGGAAGCCTCTTGCTGCTGCTGCTCCGGATCCTTGACTTCAGCATCAGCTGCAATATCCTCATTGCTTCCTTCATCAGTACCGCTTGCCGTTGGCGCAGTGACTTCGCTGTCCTCAGGTTCGGACAAATCGAAGTGCATAGTGATCTCTTCCAGCTGCTGGGTGACCCTTGCCTCCGGCTGCTTCTCCCACTTGCCATACATGATGTTCTCCACAAATTTGACATCCCGACTGTCAAACAGCACATTCTTTGAGGGCTCCCAGAGTAGCCACCCCTTGCTCTCTGCCGCAAGCCCAAGGTGCACACACCACAGTGCAGATGCTCCAAGCTTTGTCCTGTACGGTTTAGGGACATGCGCCACTGCCATGCATCCGAACACTCTGAGCATGTCCACTGGAGGCTTCTTTCCAAGCCACCTCTCCAGCGGCACCCACATATCATCAGCTACCTTTGTGAGTACGCGGTTCCTTGCCACTGTAGCATGCCTCACCGCATGAGGCCACATGGAGTTCCCCAGCCCTGATTCGATCAGCAGCGCTCGCGCAGTTTCCAGGATGGTCCTATTAGCCCTCTCAGCAACGCCATTTGACTGAGGGGTATAGGACGTTGTTAGCTGATGCTCAATGCCTTGTTTCTTGAGCCACGCAGTCAGATCTCCTCCTAGAAACTCTCCACCTCGGTCGGTTCTGATGCTCTTGCATGGTTGCCCAGATTGTCGCTCGACGAACGGCAGCCAGTCATCTCGTATTGTTGAGGCAGCATGATCCTTCTGCTTCAACGGGTATGCCCACATCAGCCGGCTCCAGTCATCAACTATTGTTAGGAAGTATCTTTCCCCCTTTCTTCCTTGAACTGGAAAAGGTCCTACCAGGTCCATGTGCACCAGTTCCAATGCTGCCTTGCTTTTCCCAGCTACGCCGTGAAAGGGGAACCGTGTGAACTTGCTCAGCAGACACGTCTCGCACTTGGTATCATTTGGTTGCCTAGAAAGCTTCAGCCCCTTTACTGCTTCTTCCTTATGCAGTTGCTGCAGCAATGGCATAGCCACATGCCCTAGACGCCTGTGTGCGGTTTCCCAATCAGTCTCCCCCGACCTTGCAGAAACCATCACTCCTGCAGCACTAACTGCATTGCACTCCCCCTGGACTCCAGATCCCGCCTTTACTACTCCCAGCTCCTTCTTTGTTGATTCCCATATCAGCGCAGGGATCTGCCACATGGATCTGAAGACATCCCTGCTTTCGTGTAAATCCCATAACACACGATCTCCTTGCAGCCCCTTGAATGTTTTGGATCCATTGGTGGTGGTGCTGACTCCGGCCTGGCCTAGCTTGCGCAGCGATATCAGATTGGCCTTCAGCCCCGGTACGAGTAACACATCCTTCAGCACAACCAGTCCACCATCAGGTGCTCTGAATGCAGCTCGACCAACTCCAGCGACCTTCACTGCATGTCCGGATGCTGAGCGCACTTCAGAGATTGGAGGCGCTCGCACAGCATCCAGCAAATCCTTGAGTGGTGTCATTGTCCATGCAGCACCAGAGTCCATGACCCACATGTCAAGCGGGTGCAATTCCTCTCCAGCCCTTGCAACAGCCGTGCCACTGTCATCTTTGTCACACACATGGTAGAACTGTCCAGCATTCCTCTCCTCATTTCCCATTCCTCTGTCATCCTTGGAGGTTTCTTCAGCAGGATCAGCTACCATGTTGGCACCTCCACGTGGTTGCTTTCCTCCATTCCCCTTTTGTGATTGGTTCCAAGGGGTCCACCAGTCGGGCTTGGTAGAGCAGCGAAACCATGGATGCCCTTCTTCCTTGCAATACCAGCACTCTCCCCTCAAGCGTGGTTCACTGTTGTCATTGTTGGAGTGACCACCTCTTCCTCTTGCACCAGCGCCACCACGCCCCCGCTGGTTCCAAGTCCCGCGACCACCTTGGCTGTAGTAAGAGCGACCGCGATTGCCACGCCCTCGATCCCTCCATGTCCCTTGCATGGCATAGCCGCTGGTGCTGTCATCACCTCCGCGCAGTGTGTAGCGACGAAAATCTTCTTCCAGAATCTTGGTGCGAATCCACTCCAATGTCCATTGACTTTGGTTTTGTGGCAAGCTGAGTCCGCTTATAAATTGCAGCCAAGACTCGGGCAGCAGGCTGAGCATCTTGAGACACTTAGTCTGCTCAGGGTACGTGATGCCCGCAATCGCCAATTTCGCGTAGAGTTCCCTCATCTTGTCCAGAACGGGCTGCACAGGTTCATTCTCGCTCAACCGCAGCATGGACAGCTCCCGATCCAGCATGAGAGAAGCGGCAACCGATGTCGGAGCGTGCAGGTCCTTGAGCACTGCCCATGCCTTGGGCCCACAATCAGTTTCCGGTAGCAGATGCATGATGTGATGCCTCTGGTTCAGCTCCAAGCTTTGTGACAGTAGATAATACCCAGCAGATGAACGTTCATCCCAGTCCGCTTGCTCTGCCATTTCCTTTGGCCTGGGCTCCGTTCCAATCATGAGCTTCAAGAGGCCAATTTGTCGAAAGTAGAGCTGCATCTTCCATGCCCAATCATCATAGCCATCTCCAGAGAACTTCTCAATGGTGAAGTTCTTCAGCACCTCCTTAAGCAGTGACCCCTGGCTTGTACGCGCTCCCCTTCGTGCTGCAATGCCAGAATCTTGGGTTGAGCTGCCTCCTTGGACTGAAGTATCACCTCCACCAGAGTCCTCCTTATCTCCCATCGTAATTTAGGTCCCAAATGCGTGATAATGGGCTCTGATACCACTTGTTGGTTAGAGAATGCTATAAGCAGATGATTCAATGGCTCCTTGGAAATTTCTGCAGCACTTCGTTATGACGCCCAGAAAACTCGCGACCTTCGAAAAGCTATATCCAAAACTCCAATCGATGAAACGATCTGAAAATCGGATATGTTGTAGCTTGCAGCGTCAGCTTTCCTCTGAAAGTTGAATCACTCGATTCCATAGCTTATCGAGTGAGCTATGGCGTTTGGCGCACTGGGGGGTAATCTGCCCTAGGAGAAGTTGACAGTCCTCAGAGTCACTATGATTGAAGCTTACAAGTTCAGAGACATGATGGAAAAGGCATTGAAGCATAGTTGGAAGGTGGGGTGGGAAGGGAAGGATGAAAGGGAAGGACCCTGGAGGCCCTTGGTCAAGAACATGACAAGAGTCAAAGTTTTGACTCCCCATCCTCAGGTTCAGCCAGCCTGGCAAGACAAAATTCATACTGTACCAGGTTGGTCTCCAAACCCCAAGTGCTGCAGCTGCAAGGTGGGGACAAAAGTCCCACACATGCTGGTCCCTCCTCGTTTTAGGGCTCTCCAACTTTGGTGTAGCAGCTGCCAAGGACTTCCAATGAGTTGTAACAAATCCATCAAACATTTCTTCGTAACTTCTTCATATGTGCTCCGATTCCAACAATTCTTGGCTCGTTGGAATGCGCTCGATCTGATGTACAATCCAAGCACATCTGCACAAGCACAAGATGAATATGCAAAGACATGCAAACCCAACAAACCACACAAACAACGTAGCACACAAAACACATGCAACGAAATGATGCGAACAGACGACAGGATGACGTGCAAACGAATATGCACCAACAGAAACCTACCACAACTACCCGTCTGCCAATGCTATTTGGCTCTACCTCGAAGATCGCTTCCTGAACAAGACTGCAGTGGGAGTTGCTATACTCATCCCCAGCATGTTCCAAGTGCGGCTCGAGGACTCGCCAGGCATGGCGGACTATGTCACCAAGGTGCAGTCCATTCATGGTGAACTCAAACAGTTGGGGATAGTCTTCCCCGAGCAAGCCCCTGCAGCCGCTCTCCTAGTCGGCCTCACTCTGGCATACGAAGTCACACGCAAGATGCTCTTGGGCCTTGCTCCTGCAGACCTCACATTTGCCAAGGTCTCATCCGCGCTCCTTTCTGCCGAAAAGGACAACAGCGCTCAAGCCAAGGCCAATGCAATCCGCGCTCCCGTGCCTCAAGCCTATGCCGCTTCGGCGCCATTCCAGCGCAACCGCTTCCCCCCGTGTTCCTGTGTCATCAAGCGCGGCCCTCGTGCCGGCCAGGTGCGTGGCAGCACCAACCACGCCCTTGCCTCCTGCTTCAAGAAAAAGGATGACGATTGGTATGCCGTCAATGGGACCGCCTCGAAGCCGCCAAGCTGGATGGTCAATCGTGCTCCTCGCCAAGTCAATCAAGTCGAAGCGCAGAAATCCGTGCAGGCTGCTGTAGCTCCCACTGCTGATGTGCGCCTCCACATGTTGTTTCTTGGCACTGCCATGATTAATGAGACAGTTTCGCAGTGTCCCGGCTCACAAAGCACTTCAGCCACAATAGAGTTCACCCTCGACAGTGGGGCCACTCACACGGTTCTCAAGGAAGAACACTCCTTCAAGCCATACGAGACACCAATCCATCTACTAGGAGCAGACTCCAGTTTCACAACACACGCCAAGGGCTCCTCCACAATTCCGTGCCCAGCTTTTCCTTCGGGCAGTGTCACCGGCATGTGTGTTCCCACACTACGCCACAATCTCGTGGCCCAACACGAGCTCCAACGGGCAGGCGTCACCACGATCTTCCCAGCACACTCGGATCACTGTGACCTCTTCGACCCTAAGTCCAACAAGCTCCTAGCACGCTTCACACTCAACAGTAACAAGCTCTACACGCTGCGTTCACCTGCACCTCTCGCCGCCCTCTCCCAAGCGCAAGCTGCCAGCACCACTCCGTGTTCGTGTCGCAGATTTGCCAACCCAACCATCCTCTACCACCATCGCTTGGGTCACCCCAACTTCCGTACACTTGCCGACATCGCTTCCAAGAAACTTCTTCTTGGCCTCCCGTCGGCGCTTCCTCCACCAACAGACTCACCTGCACCCACCTGCCTGGACTGCACCAAGAGCAAGCTCAGGCAGCAGCCGCACCCTTCCTCCCCATCCGTCTCAGCTGCTCCGCTGGACCTAGTGCACATGGATGTGTGGGGCCCAGCTCCAGTCGCATCCCGAGGCGGTCATCGGTACTTTCTTACACTAGTCGATGACCACTCGCGGTATGTTTCTGTGCACCTCCTGCATACCAAGGTGGAGGCAGCTGATGTCATCATGGCGTGGGTGCGCCAGGATCAAGTCACGTTCGGCACTCCTCTGAAGTGCCTCCATTCTGATGGCGGGGGAGAATTTCGCAATGGCAAACTCGATAACTTCTGTGTGGCCCAAGGGATTCGGCAAACCTTCACGCTCCCCGAAAGCCCGCAGCAGAATGGCATTGCAGAGAGCCGCAACCACACCTTGGTTCAGATCGCTCGCTGCCTCCTCAGTCACGCCAACGCACCACGGTCATTCTGCGGATATGGCCCCCTTCCATGCGGCACTCCTCTAGAATCTTTATCCGCATCCCCACCGGCCCGACACCACACCTACCGCTCTCTGGCTTGGGGTCACGCCTTTGGCCTGCTCTCTACGCGTCTGGGGGTTTACCGCGTATGTGTTGCTAAGCCCCCACACGCGCAGGAAGCAAGGTGGCAAGCTTGGTCCCAAAACCCAGACCTGCATGTACCTGGGGCACAACTCCGACTCCCCAGACTACTTATTCCTCAACCCAATCACCAGACAGCTGATTCGCAGCCGTGATGTCGTCTTCGATGAGACACGCCCATTCCACTCTGCGACCACGGGCGAGCCTCCTCCACCTCCCCCGATGCTTGTTTGGGCAGACTTCGATGCCCCACCTCCGGCCGCTGCCCCTTCTCCGGGGCCTTCTCCGTCCGACGTGTCTCACCCGGCCTCCCCAGTATCCTCCGCAGCGGCACCTCCTCCTGCTCCGCCTTCCCCGCGCGTCGAGCCCGGCTCACCAGTCTCCTATCGGAGGCGCCCAGTCCCTCCGGTCCCACCGCAGCCGCCTTCGTCTCCGGTCTCTAGCCGCACTCGTTCCAAGGGACCGGCTCCGCCTCTCGCCTGGGGACCAGCCGTCTTCTCCATCCGGTGTTCGGTCACCCCGCCTCCTCCTGCCGGGGGTGATGTCCCCTCCATCCGTATTCCCCCCCGTGCACTTCTGGAGGACAGGCATAAGGAGTTGTTTGACCTTCACGCGGTCTGCCAATTTCTCTCTCACATCTTTCCGGACATTACTGACTCCCCTTCCCTCAACTTCACCGACAACCCGACCATTCCGACTCCTCGCACAAAAGAGGAAGCTCTCTCGGGGCCTTATAAGAAGGAGTGGAATGCAGCAATGGATGTGGAGAACGAGGCGTTCATTCGCAACAACAACTTTGACGATGTTGTTCCCCGTTCCGGTGTCAACATCGTCGGCGGAAAATGGATCTTCCGAGTCAAACAACTCGCAGGCGAAGCTTCACTGTTCAAGGCATGATACGTGGCAAAGGGTTTCACCCAGAAGGAGTATCTCGACTTCTTCGAAACATTCTCGCCCACGGCCAAGCTCCCGACTGTGCGCGCTCTTCTTGATATAGCCGCTCGCGGCAACTTCGAGATCAAGTCCATGGACGCCTCCTCCGCCTTTCTCCAAGGCCAGCTCAAGGAGGATGTTCACATGGAACGCCCACCGGGGTTTCCTGGCACTTACCCTGCCAATACAGTGTGGAAGCTGAAGCGCCCAGTGTATGGCCTCAAGCAGGCTCCTCGTGAGTGGCACAACAAGGTGAAGGAAGTCCTCGCACTTGACTTCCATCCCTCTGCCTCAGATTCCAGTCTCTTCGTTCGTCACTCCTCCGAGCCCTTCTACATCCTCGTCTACGTCGACGACTTCATTCTAGCCGCCAGAGATCCAGCCGACATGGCAGCTGTCCAGTCTGCTCTCAGCTCCGCCCTTCTCATGAAGGATCTTGGTGACCTCAAGAACTACCTGGGGATGGAGATCACTCGTGACCGCCAGGCTTGCACGATCACCCTCTCCCAGGAGTCCTACATCGACAACCTTCTCAAGCGGTTCGACATGGACTCCAGTAACTCGGTCTCCACTCCACTCCCACTACAGCATCAGCTCACGGCCCCTCCAGTTCCTTCTCCTGACGCCTGCAAGGACCCGTACCCTGAGCTAGTCGGTTCACTCATGTATGCCATGATGTGCACTCGACCAGACTTGGCTTACCCGGTTAGTGTCCTCTCTCGGTACGTCTCCCCCGGACGCTACACTGCCTCACATTGGTCTGCAGCCAAGAGGGTCCTCCGCTATCTACAAGCCACCAAGTCTCACATCCTCACACTTGGTGGTACCTCTCCAGTCAAGCTCGAGGGATACACAGACTCCTCATGGGCCGATGACCAGACACACAGACGCTCCTCCCAAGGGTACTGCTTCACCCTTGGTAGCGGAGTCATCAGCTGGCGCTCCACTCGGTCCTCTGCAGTCTCCCTGTCGTCCTGCGAGGCCCAGCTCTACGCGGGCACAATGGCTGCTCAAGAGGCACGCTGGCTCTCCTTTCTCCTCGCTGAGTTAGGCTACCCCCAGCAGTCGCCCACCCTGTGGTGTGACAACCAGAGTGCTATTCATCTCACCAAGGATCCTGTGTTCCACTCTCGCACCAAGCACATCGAACTTCGTCATTTCTTCATCCGAGATCTTGTTCAGAGTGACCAGCTGACGGTACGGTACATCGCCTCAGATTGCAATCACGCCGACCTCTTTACCAAGGCTCTCGGCAAGGCTGACCACCATCGCCTTCTCCGTTCCATGGGGCTATGTGCTCCTTGACCGGGTTTGCAGTCTATGGGGGTGTGTTAGAAATAGACTGCAAATACCACTTTTGTATTTGTACTTTTATATCCTAGTTTAGGTTGTGAATGTTCTAGTGGGTTGGGGTGTACTCACAAATCCCAACCTCACCCAATTGTGATCCCCACAATCTCCAATTACCCAATTGGAGATTCCGGAGATCCCAATGGGGATTCCCTCCAATTCCCCCTTCATCCATTCTCTCTCACCTTGCCATGTACTTATAGAGCCTTGGTCTCCTTACCTAATCAATCATTTCAACTCTATTTCTTACAACGGAGACAAGTGCCACAAGGCTAGTCAAGATAATACAATGACTAGTACACAATCAGGGTCCTAGCAAATGAGGAGCTACTGGAAATAGACCAAGCTGTACACAGTGCCAATGATGATATTTAGGCACAAGCGCCTTAGTAAAGATATCAGCTGTGTTGGCACCGGAGGCCAAGTGTGCTACGCAAGCCTGGCGGCGCTGCTGTAGCTCGCGCAGGAGGAAGTACCGCAGCTGGATGTGCTTCGCTCAGCCCTCTAGTCGAGGCTCCTCACACAAGAGGATCATGGCCCTGTTGTCAGCAGAGCTAGGCCGCTCACGTAAATCTGTGAGCAGGAACATCAGCCAGCGGAGCTCCTATGCCGCCATGGCACGAGTGTAGATCTCAGCCTCACAGCTAGACTGTGCAACAAAGGACGAGCGGGTGGACCTGCACGAGATAGCGCTTGCACCAAGACTAAAGTAGTACACCCGGGAGG